CTTTTCTCTCTTACCTTACTGGCTCCAAAAAAAAGAAGTGTTGTGTATTTGGGCTCCTGGAGCAGAAATTTCCATCATAATTGCAAAATTTGAAGGGTGGGAATTATTTTTTGCAAACCTTAAGAGAATTTATATTCCAAGTCTTGAATTGTGTTTGTGCTATCGACTGGTGTTGATAATGGTGTTTAAATTGGCTTGAATTCTGTGGCTAAGCTTAAATATAAAAAAGTAGAGAAAAAAATAATCCATCAAACTTCTTTGTCTTATACCAACATCTGATGAATATCTCATACTGGATAGGTGTAATTAAATTGGTTTTGAACTTGAAATTAATGCCCATATATGCTTTACAACAAGTTTAATTTGAAAGTGCCTGTTTGCACCTGATAGGTATGAGGAATCAGTACTTAATTGAACGGTTTCTTTAAAAGGGATTTGTTAGTCCACTACTCTAATTCCCTACTGAGTTCTTTAGAGTTTAAAACATACTACATTCCAGACTCCATAATGCCAAATATTGCAGAACTTCTTTTTTTCATAAACCCGCTGAGAAGAATGCAGGCCCAGTGGTGGGCTAATGCCAATCTTTTTGAGGAAATGCTACCAAAAAATCCACTTTGCTGACCCCTCTCAAATTAACTGAAACAGGTCTTCTACATGAAGATGAAACCACTGTAGCAAATAGGCACCTTTTTTAGATAAATGCTACCTAGAATTTACTCTTCATCAGAATGTTTAGAAACATGAACTTCTTTTTCCTTATGGGATTTTTTTTTCACTTGAGCAGGTAGCCATTGTGTTATGAGGGTTCTCTTTACTATTAAAACTAAAAATAAGATTTCTGATGTGTGAAACATTTTGTGTTGACATTGCTTTAAATGGACTATAACAGTTACAAGATTGTTCAGGATTGTCATCTTCAACATGCCTTCTATTTAAAAACTGTCTGTGAAAGACAAATTCCAGAGTTTGTAGTAGGTTGTTTTCAACAATTTTTTTCTTCAAAAACAAACAAATCACAATACATTACTGCTTTTTGAGGAGCTTTTTAGTGTTAATTGTCTGCTTTGATTCAGACCCCTCTTAAAGTAATAACAGAACAGTTAGATTAAGCATTTTGATTTGACTGCTGTTGAAAATGTTTATGGTTCTTGATTCCTGCTAGAAACTATAGGAAGTGTTAAACTGACTGTTATTAAGCTGATTTATTTGTAGTACATTTTAGTTTATAATTAGATAAAACAACAAATTTGAGCTTAGTTTCCTCATGGAAGTTGTGGTTAATCACTACTGCAAATGTGGCAGTGAATACATAATAAAAAGCTGCAACATTTTGACAGCTTCCATCAAATTTGCATTATTTTCAGATGAAAGCATAAGGAAATTAATTTATTTTGTTGTTTCATCCTGATTCATTAAAATACTTGAATTTTTTTTGTCATCTGAATTGCATACTAAGACAAAAATAATCATGTGTTTGGTAGGTGCTAAAGCAATTCCAAGCTTTCACCTTATATTAATGTGGTAGTGAAAGTATTAAGAAAATTCATTATTTTATATAATGTGTGCTTCCCTGAAACGTCAGAATATCAGCTGTTGTTCACAGTAGAAGTATTACTACTAAGGAGTGCTGTGTCAATGCTGGTTTTTACACACTGTCAGCCTGGCTCCTAGTAAATCTCTCAGTTTACCATTTGCTGCGTGTTCCTTCACAGCAAGGCTGTTCATTGCTGCCTTAGTCAATAGTATGAGCCCTCCCAAAGCATTAAGGAAAACTGTAATCTTTAATGACACTGACATTTAATGTGCTTTTCTTCACCCCTCCCTTTGGTTACTATTCCTTTGAAGAGTTCTTCCCCAGGAGAGAGCTTTTATTTATTTTATGTATTTTATTTTTAAGACCACCTGGCTTTTTGCACATATGTTTGGTTTCATTAATGTGTAATGTGTCTTCTGCTGATGCCTTGGTAACAGCATAATGGTGTTGGTGAGTCGTGAAACAGATATTTAATCTGGGCTTCTTTGTCTCCTATGGGTGGTGTACCCAGCTTCTGCCTGCTGGCTTCCTAGTGAGAGAGAACACTAGGAAAGAAGAAAGTTGTGAATGGCAAGTGTTTTACACAGATGGTGTGCTTATGAGTGCCCATTTGACAGGCTCTGGGAGAAGTTTAGCTGAGGGACTTTATTTTCAGCTCTTTCAGGAATAACTCATGTAACAGTGTATCAGAAAGAGCTTGTTTTTTGATAGCTGAGAAGTTACATGTGCAGTTATTTACTCATAAATCTCTTGTCCGTTTAGGCTGAGATAGATATTTAATGTATAGATTGACAGTCTTGTAAATAAAATTCCATAATCATTTTGGTTTGGACTTTTTTCCTTTTACTGTTAAAATTACTGCAGAATATAGGCGGGTTCACTGGAAAAGATGTAGGAAAGGAGTTAAGTGGAACATTTCTTACAGGAGTGGAAGCATGTTAGTAGGATGTATTCCTCCCCTCTGTCTCCCCAAGCATACTCCTTTGCTTATTGTAAATTTGTGTGATGGTCCGAAGGGACAGCTAGAAATGCATCTGAACATTTGGAAGTTAATCAGTGGGCTTTCAATTGTTTTTTCTCTGTGTGAGCCAGCATCACCTGCTGCACTTCATAATGTAGCTGACTTTTTTGTCTGTTATCACAGATATGTGGAATGGTGTGTCTTCTGGCCTGGTTGCTCACTTGATGTACTTAAAGTATTTGCTTCAAACAGAGAGCCCTAAGATTTGTACAGAAATAGTAAAATACATTAAAACCCAACAAATAAGCTTTTCCTCAGCCTTTGTAATTAAACAAGGCTAAGTAGTATTTTTGAAAAATGATGTTTTTGGAAAAAAACTTTCATGGAAAAGTTTATTTCCATGGGGTGTGCAGCTGAAAACAATAAGTGGAACTGGTGATGTGAAATTCTGTGGTACCTGTGAACATCAAGGCAGATTGTGAGTTTTCAGTGGAACTAGGAATGTGTCTTTCAAACTTAAAATTAAAGCTAGTCGACAGAGGGGAATATGTGGCAGAAGAGTTGTTCCCGTTTTGCTTTCAGCTGTGTTTCAGTCTTTGCTTCTGTTGGGTGTATTTGGGTGCACTTTCTTTGACTTAGAAAAGTCAAGGTGTCCAGGCAGCATTTTTGCATCCCTGTTAAGAAGCCTGTGTCAGTGTGAAGGCTGGAATCCAAAGAATCAGGAATTGGAAGTGACCTTGGCATTGTTGCCAGTATAGTGGTGTTGGGTATGGCTTACTTGGTGGTCAGAAAAGAGGAGAGTGGTGGGAACAATGAAAGCAAGTGTGTTAGCGTAGATGACTTTGAGACCTCTGAGAGGTCAGCTGGGATGATGAACTATAAAGAACTGTTTCTGTAATACAATTTTTTCAAGATGGCAGTATTTTAGGTTATTAAGTGTAGAATAATGACATGTAATAGTTGCAATGTAGAGCTGAAAGCATTCTCAAAATGTGTGGTTTTCTGTGTACATCATGTTTGTGTTTGGTAGTTAAAAATAAAACAAATTTCTGCATAAAATTTTCTGCAGAAAAAAAACCTCAAAATGTCCATTTTTATTCATGTGGGATCTTTTTTGTTTCTTAAGTCTGTGCAGTTTCTTAGAAGGGGCTGAGTGGTTTTTTTTTTTTTTTTTTTTTTTTGGTTGGTTTTTTTTTATTTGTTTGGTTGGGTTTTTTTGTTGTTTTTTTTTGATAGTAATTAATAGACAGAAAAATAACACCTTCTTGCTGTCTGAACAATTGAATTTCTCCCACATGTTCCTGCT